GAATCATTGGGCCTATGATCCATTTCCATGTCTGCCGACATAACAAGAAAAAAACAGGCAAAGAGAGGAAGAAAGAGCCACGTTAATGACATTCTGTTAGATTAATATATGATTGCCTTGCGTATGGCAGGAAACAGCTTAAACAGTTCACTCAAAGGACTTGTTATACCACACCCAGTTTTCAGAAGAGAATTTCTTCTTTGGCAATTGTTTTATATGCTTAGGAAGTCACTGAAATCATGAACAGGTCTGTTTCTCAAGACTATGCCGGATAATAAGAGAGCTTGCTATTTCAAGTTGATCTTGAACATTCGTGCCTAGATTTTCTGGGTCTAGTTTTTTTAACCATGCACTTATTTACAATGTGTGTAAATGTCTGACACAGTTCTTGATTTGACTCTGGGCTCTTAATTTTAAAGGCAGTTTAAAAAAAGCATTAATCTGACTATGTATCATTAAAATTAAGACAATATATAATCCAAGCAGCCATATGGTTCATTTAATAAACAAATATATTTTACCATAGGAGGATTTCCAGAAAACTGTGGTACAGGACAAGAAGGCGATTTTCCCCATTCAGTGAAATTTTTGGCACATATATGTGGCTTATGCACATCCAGACTGGCACGTGTTTGTCCTCGTACAATTTGTCTGAAAAGAACATGTATCAATATCAATAAAATCCTAAGGTACAATAAATTTAATAATAATTAAGCTGATGACACAAGAACATCTTCATTAATGCAGAATTTAGAGAGGTTTGTTGTTGTTTGATTCTTACTTACAACTCCCAGAATCCTTCACCCAACGCACTAATTCAAAAAGTGATACTGTTATTCTCTGTACTCATGTTGTGACTGACACTAAATGCTTGGGATGTGTTTCAACTTGTATAATGAATAACTTCGAGAAAGCTAACACCAGGACTGCCTTTCCCACTCCAGTCTCCCTTCTTTGCAGATATATTTATTGCTATCAGAGCTATAGCAACTTCCTCCACCTATGAAATCTTAGATTATATTTCATTGTGTCAGTCTTACTGTCTCAACTGCTGTAAGTGGGCAACCATGACATGTGTATTACTGCCATACATTATCAAGATATGTATTACAAAAATGGAAGTGCTAATGTGATGTGTGGAATCATGCAGAGTCGGGTGACAAGTAGTGATTATGTAATCCCCTTCTCCTGTGTAAGTATTTGGGAGGCATTGCAAGCTCTTAATGTGGTGTGATTTAAAGGCACCAGTTGCAGTGAAACCAACCCAATCTGATTCCCCCCTCCCCACCCTTATTCCTATCCTCTGTGATAAATGCTCTCATTACCATAGGTTTTAGTGAAACAATATAAATTGAAATGTAGCATTTTGAAAAAAAAAAGGATTTCCTATCTTAAAACATGACTTTAATCCATCAAGTCTTCTACTCCACTAGTCTGTTCTGGTCTGTTAGTCCCCTTTTTGCCTACTGGCAAAATCACCTATAGGATGGATGTCCAAATCACCTACAAGACCTGATGTTGTAACATTAGCATTTGATTATGAATATTCTTTATCTTCCTCTTTTTCCTATTTTCTTAATAAATTTTGGTGACAAAGTAGCTTTGCACAAGAAAGGATATTAACTATTCTGCCTTTTAGACACATTGTATACATGAAGGATGGGCAAAGTTCAGTCTACTGGCCACATGGGGCTCCCAAATGCAGGGCCCCAGGTCACCCCCAGGTTCTCCCAGGAACGTGGTTGGCGCCACATAAATTAGAGACAATTGAATTGTAAGATGACAGCTATTGTATATAATAGGACTGTAGTATCTGTGGGATTAGTACCCATGGTTTTACTTATCCACTGCCTGAAAATATTAATTCCAAAAATCCAGAAATACAAGTTTCCAATTACTGGAACTGGCCACTAGAGGAAGTACAGACTATGGTATATATAGTGTTCATATATCTGCACTTTCCAACATCTGCAGAGAGAGGCTTGTAACTGACCCCCCACAGGTACCACGGTCCTACTGTACTTGCCCATGTTAATCGCCAAAAGGGTTCTGGTTAGTATGTTAAAATTTAGAATAATGGTTAAAGATGCTCTCTAAGTGAACTAAAAGCATGGTTACATCACTAAAAAAAAATTGGACTCTGTAGTGGCGAAATCAATTTCAAGTCATGTGGCAGTCATATGAGATTTGTGTCTCTGCCTGCATCCCTTCGGCTAATTTTTAATCCAATATTTTTTAAAAGTTTTGTATCACCTTTGTAGTTCACCCTGATGTTTAAACCATGTTTATTAAAACTGTTTGGTTTCCATGGGCACCTGCATATTGGGATAACTCCATAACGACTGCACTTTTTTTCTTCTGTCGTGCACAATGAAAAAAAATCTATATTTTCTTATACTGTATGGTCTGCCTTATTAGCTGTTCTATATCTGTTCTAAATTATATATTTTTTAATTTCAATATCAATTCTAAGCAATGCAGCACTAAATCAGACTGTATGTATATGTACATAGAAGGGGGCACTGCAGTCTAATAAGTGATACAGTTGGACTGCAGGACACTGCAATGACAGAAACACACATAGGGGGACAACAAAGTTGGAAAAATATAAGCCAAAAGATGCATTCCCATATGGCAAAATGACACAAAGTAAAATGATTTCAATTCTGAATTAAACATCCCTTCCAATCGAAAAAATATGATTCTCTGCCAAAACAATCCATGCTTACATTATGTATTTATCCTTTTTTATATTATTAAAGAATCATAGAAAAGTGAAGTTGGAAGGGACCTATAAGGCCATCAAGTCCAACCCCCTGCTCAATGCAGGAATACAATCAAAGCATATCTGCCAAGTGATTGTCCAAGTTTTTCTTGAATGCCTCCAGTGCTGGAGCACTCACCAACTCCCGAGATAACTGATTCCACTGTCATACTGCTCTAACACTTAGGAAGTTTTTTCCTGATATGCAACCAAAATCTGGCTTCCTTTAACTTGAGTGCATCGTTGCGTGTCCTCAACTCTAGGATGACTGAGAACAAATCTTGCCCCTCCTCTGTATGAGAGTCTTTCAAATATTTGAAAAGTGCTATCACATATCCCCTCAGTCTTCTTTTCTCAAGGCTAAACATGCCCAATTCTTTCAGCCTTTCCTCATAAGGCTTGATTTCCAGCCCCCTGATCATCCTTGTTGCCCTCCTCCAAAATTGTTCCAATTTGTCAGCATCCTTCTTGAAGTGTGGTGTCTAGAACTGGACATAATACTCAAGCTGAGGCATAACCAGTGCTGAATGGAGGGGGACTAGCACCTCATGGGATTTGGAAACTATACTTCTATTAATGCAGCCTAAAATAGCATTTGCTTTTTTATAGCCACATCACACTGTTGGTTCATATTTAGCTTGTGATCTACGACAATTCCAAGATTCTTTTTGCTCCAAGTTTTGCGGAGCCAGGTATCCCCCATCTTGTAACTGTGCAATTAGTTTATTTTTCTGAGGTGCAGTACTTTGCACTTATCTCTGTTGAATTTCATTCTGTTGCTTTCGGCCCACTGCTCCATCCTATCAAGGTCATTTTAAATTTTGTTTCTGTCTTCTAGGGTATTGGCTATTCCAACCAATTTGGTACCATCTGCAAATTTGACAAGCATTTCCTACACTCCCTCATCCAAGTCATTAATAAAAATACTGGAGAACTGAGGACTGAGCCTTGGGATACCCCACTAATTATCTCCTCCCATATTGATTCAAAGCATGATAAACACAATTCAACTATAATTCTTTTCCTAAGTATAACTGTGCTCTAAATTAGTCTGTGCCCAGCACAGGTTATAGATGCAAAAAAGCATAAGAAGACAAGGAAACAGTGGAAATTCATTTGTCCCAATAAGCTCTGACAGAACCAGTGAACAGTTTCCTCATTTATTTCTTCTTATTAACTCTTTAGCTGAAGACAAGCTCTCCAACCTTCAAAAGCTAGTTCATCATTCTAAATCTTTCATTGGTCCTAATAAATACATTATGATATTGTATCCATCTAGTTATTTACTAGTAGCTCTGAATAAAAGCCAATACTTACCCAGCTCCATGGATGGCAAGGCCAATAAAAAAGATAACAAACAGGTGGTGAGTAAACCAAAATACTTCAAAGTATGACCTTCGAATGGTTTTAGTAGATGATGTGATTATCAGTATTAGACACAATGTGATGATAACACCAGTGAGGCCTGCCAGGGTTGTGAATGCTACATAGAAACCACCATCGGGATTCTGTGAAAGGAAAAGGAAGATAAGGAAATCAATCACAACTGAACTGCATAGCTTCTCATTCTCCAAACCCTGCCACAAAAAAACCCAAAAGCCAAAAAAAAATCCAACAACAAAAATACCCCCAAAACAAAAAGCCCCACAAACAACAAACAAACATCACCTGAGACAAAAAAAACAATCTATGTGCCTCTTGTTGGCAGACTACAAAGCTCATCAGCGCTAACAGAACAGCTTGGACAGGGCCATGGAGTGAATATGACTCGGTAAGTAAACACTTTAATAAATCCCATTGATCCAAAGTGTCTACTATAGTAAGAATAACAGTTAGACTTCGCCATGTGGTGGAATAGTAGTGATTGGAGAGGGAAATAGACTTCTCCCTCCTAAATGATTGCTAACTGATTGCGTATACAAGACCATATTTGCTTACCTCAAGCCTCTTTCGAGCAAAATTCAGGTATGATTCTCCTTCATGATCACCCAAATCAGACAGTGCAGCCTGAATGTCTCCTTCATGTTTAGTACGTGCATCCACCAGTTTTTCTACATTAAACAAATGTGCAATTGTGTGGATTGCTAAAGAAAATAATTTTTTAAAAAGCATAGAAAATATGTTAATATAGATCGGGAGATCACACATAAAATACCTTTTTTCAAATTTAGAACACAATCCCCTTACTCTCTGAAAAGTGAGGCCGTCCCAGTAAATATAACATAGAGCCCATTCATCTATCCACAGTTTGTAACTACAGTATTTGTATCTGTAATTAATTCACTTGCCGCTATTGTGGACCACAGACATCAGCAATGCCTTTAGTGATACTTAATTCTTCAATAATTGTACTTGGAGATAAGTTTCATTGCTGTCTTATATTCATGTAACTGTTTTGTAAATGATTCAATAGTGTTAAAAATTTCATTAAATATTAATCACATGCCATTCAGTCAATTCTGACTTATGGTGACCCTTTTCACGATTTTCTAGGTAGAAAGTACTCAGAATTGGTTTGCTATTCCCTTTTTCTGGGGGGACCTGTGCAGCTTGCCCAAGTCCACATAGCCTGGCTCTTGTCCAAGAGGGACAGTGTGGAATTAAACACCCAGTTCAGATTTCTTTACTTGAATTAATTTGCTTGGGCTTGTATCCTGATACATTGGTCTCCCCTTCACTTTGTTTTTTTGAAATTTTAAGTCTACAATCAGGACTGCTTCTTCAAACTCTTTAATGTTTTCTACAGGACCTGCTGACTTGAAACACTTAAGAAATAAAGCTCATTGTTGTGAGCATACATTTCACCTTCTCCCACCACCTATATTTTTAGAAATTTCTCCATATACAGATTACTTGCCCCCCCTTGACTTTTCAGAATTCCTCCAGCAACTCTGTGTACTAAGATGGGTCATGTGTTCATTGAAGCAAATAAGACATCACCCAGATATAGAGTTTCCTATTATAGAGTTTCAAAAAACCTACTAGTATGGAGAGCAATCATCCAAGCCACAAGTTTGTGAAATGTGAGGTTCCTGTCCAACTGTCTTCTTACACGCACAGAGCAGCACTATGAATTCAAAAGAGGAAGTGTGAACAAAGGAGTTGCCTCAGAGTTGCAACACACCACACCTAATTGCATCCTTCTGAGATCCAGAACTCACTTCTTTGAGCTGCTGTTTCATGTTTTAAAAACCAGTTCAAATATATGCCATTATATAATGAAATGTGTGTAAATGGTAATTATAGCATGCATAATATGAATACTGTATCATTTTCTACACAGCTAAGCCTATAAAATAATGGAGAAATCAAATCACACTGTGCTAAGAACATTATTCAAAATTACTATAAAGAAACTTCTTCTGTGAAAAAAGTTGAGGGGAAAACATGAGAACACTTAAAATATGGACAGGGCCCATTTGGTGCTCAGATGCAGAAAAAGAGAGGACTCTAGTGGATAGACAAGTACAGAAGCCCGAGGTTCATTCAACTTAACAACAACTAAACTTTGCCTGGGTGTTGCCTTTTCAATGTTCCTCATTTCTTTATGACCTTTCATATTGCTTCCTCATGACTATTAATAGTTTACTTCTGAACCAACAAAATATAGTTTGACTTGTGTATCTTTCAGTAAAACTGTGTTTTACAATTCTGATTGAAGAGGAAGGGAATCTGAACAAATGAGAGATAAGAAGGATGTAGTGAAAGGAATGCATGAACATCAGTTTTGCTCATGTAATTTCAAACTTACCAAGACAGAGGAATCACCACTCTTTATGCCAACAAACTCATTCATTCGTTCGTTCGTTCATTCACTCACAATACTAAGCTTCACATGAACTTGTGCTGATTAAGGGTATAAACACACGGGTTGTATTGTGTTCAGGGCGTCATTTTGGACTAGAATATGACGCTTGGAGTTGGGTGATCACCTGTTTGCAATGTATCCCATATGACTGTTCAAGGTTTAGCAGTGGTTTTTCATATTGGTGCAAAAGTGGCAATTAAAACCACATAGGATGTCCTGATTCATTTTCCAGTTGGGATTTCCTGCAATGTTATGTTTCAGTGATAGATGCAGCATATTATGTGACCTATGATTGAACAGCTATGTGCATCTCTTGCCACTGAAACAGCTTCCTTATCCTTCAATATTCTCATTTCTATTTCAGGTGCCTTTCCTAGGATAGTCAATCTTCTCACTGAAGCAGGGAATGGATGCTATTGCTACTAATGATAAACATAGTTAGGGGGGGTGTATCTCCTCCTGTTTATTCATTACCTTGTTTCCTGTCTACCATTTTCTTTCTATGGGATTAATTATATTTTCTTCTATGGTGGGATTGGCCTTTCCATTACCTAGCAATGTTGCATAGTGGTGTTCCAGAGGATGTGGGGTGAGAAGCAGTGAGACTCTTGCTTTGTCACTAATTAGAATTAATTGTATAATTCCATTTTATATGCTATTTTAACATGTTTTAACTTATGTAAGCTGCCCCGAGTAGATGTTGTCTAGAGGGGTGGGGTAAAAATTGAATATGATGATGATGATGATGATGATGATGATGATGATGATGATGATGATGATGATGATGGTGGTGGTGGTGGTGGTGGTGGTGGTGGTGGTGGATCAGTATCCTGCAGACTACCCACCACCCAGCCAAAGAAACTGCCACAGTTCAAAGAGCCTTTTTAGTTCTATTGCTGCTAAAGGGTGGGTGTTAAGGGTGTTACCTAGCATACCATGAGGAATAATAGGCGGTTGAGCCAAGCAAGAAATGCTGGTTTGCCACTGTGTCATTGTGTAAAAATGTGGCATGAAGCCCTCTCACCACCAGTAATGGAACCCTTTCAGTTTGGGTTGAACATGCATTGGCAACAATGACTCCTTATACTCCAGCAAAGTATGGGGAAACGGCCTCTGTGAATAGGATCGCCAAGGGGGAGCATAACGGAGGCTTACATCTTTAGGCACAAAAGCAATTAGGACCAACACACTGTGAAGTCCCAAAGATGATCCTTTAATGATCCATTGATCCATTTGCTGCTTGTTATTCAATTCTTCAAAAAAACTTAAGTTTATGAATGTGGGATATTGTGCTTCTGTAACCATGATTCAAAAAGATAGGAAATTGCCCAGTATTGCTGCACATTATTGTGGCTGCATTGCTAGCAAGAAAATGGATGCCAAGCACTACACAGCCAAGGGCAGCCTGAATGTTGACAACACCATCAGCAGCAGTCAAGATGGTATATAGCAGCGGTCCCCAACCTTTTCTAAGCCATGGACTGGTTTAGCGGGTGGGCTTGTGGGGCGGTGTCTGTGCGTGAGTGGGTAGGGTACCTGTGCGTGCGTGCGTACATGGGTGGGTGGGGTACCCATGCATGCATGTGGGGGCCCTGTGCATGCTTCTGTGTGTGTGAGAACAGAGCGTGTATTTGTCCATGCATGTATGTGGGGGGGCATACATGCATGTGTGCATGGGGGATGTGCATGGGGGCAGTGGGATATCTTACTCTGTGCCCTGGTCCTGACAATGCCATGGCCTGGTACCGAGCTGTGGACTGGGGGTTGGGGACCCCGGGTATATAGGATACCCTCTTCTACTCATTAACATCTACAAAGTGGCAGCATGCAAGGGAAAAGTCCAGAAGCTGAGATGTTTGGGTGAGAAGTTAAGAACATCTCACTAAAACACAAAGCAAGTGCAGCAATAATGAAGCCAACCCACCCTAGTTGTGTCTTCTGCATTGCCATCCAGGTGAGAAGTGGGTAGTTCATGAGATGGACTGGTGATGTTGCAGCACAAATGTCGAGAAATGGTGGAGAAAATGTGAGGAACATTGGTGTGGTGTGTGGAGGAAAGTAATATGCTCTCCTTAGTGTAGAAAAGAAGAAAGAAAGAAAAAGAGAAAAGGAGCAGGGAGTCTGCAATTGGGAAGATGTAGATGATAGCAATCACCATGGGATGCAACAAGGAGGTGCTGAGTTATACTGAAAGAAGATAGAAGGGCCAGGATCTGGATCCTCTCAGCATTAAACAGCTTTAATCTATTATAACTGAACAGGCTTTCCCTGGAAGTTGTAATTTGCAAGGATCCTGAAATCCTTATAAACCCCTAGTTGCCTTCTTGTAGAAATACAATCCCAATTAATGCAATACATTTAATAAATACATTTAAATAGGCGTAGAAGTACAATAGAGAAATACTTGTAAAATCTTTGCTACCCATCAGATGGTGGTTTCATGGTTGTGGTTCAAACATCCCATCTTATCACATCTGGCATGGAGGAGATGAAACCTATGCTATATGCATGGTCAGCACCAAAAAAATTCTGCATACTTAATACTTGCTGCAATTTTCTTTCACGATTTCAAGAAAATTGTAAAAGTTACATTTCGCTAAATTAGGGCAGGTATTAGGCCAAGGTTTTTTGCTTTTTGTGGTTAACAAAAAAACCCCTCACCCAAACAACACCAAAAGAGTACCCCTTTCCATCCTTGGTACAAAAGCTGACTTTGCTACTGTTGCTCCTGATGTAGTGGGATAGCTTGGGGTCATAAAATACACAGCCACTTTTCCTCCCACATCTTGCTGCTCCCACTACTCTAAGGTTTCAGAGAGGGGAAAACAGAGATACTGTATGTCTTCTGTTTAGCATTGCTCTTCTTCAATTCATCTTCAAGTATATTCATGATGAATCAACCATGGTAGCTCTAAATAGCAGCCAATAATTATCTTGCTGAGCTTTTGTCTTGCTTATATGTTGCCTAGAAATGTGAGAAAACAATAATAAAGATAATAAAAATAATAACTGTTTGCCATGAAGTCAGTTCTGACTTTTGGCAACCCTTTCCAGGATTTCCTAAGTAGCGAGTACTCTGAAGTGGTTTACTTGTACTCTTTCTTCTGGTGGCAACCTGGGACTGTGCAACTTGCCCAAACCTAAATCACTGAGCTATCCAGCCAGTAATAATAAAGATACAGAGACAGTTTATTTTTTTTATTATATTTTTAGAGATTTAATGGTTGGTTTGCTCTGTACACCAGACTCTTTTCATATGCATGTGTGACGGACAGGTCAGGAACCACTCCTGTCCATCACAATGGAACCCTG